ATTATACACGACTTCCTCGCTCACACAGGATTAACAGTCGCAGTTAAGAGGATTTCTACTATGATCCCCAATCTTAGCTGATGAATACAATTACTCATGTAGACTTCAACGGCTTCCTATAGCTCTAACAACAAAATCATATTCATGTCTAAAACCCTAAGTTACTAGACTATACTTTTAAACATTACTCCTAAATTCATAACATTTAAACAGTATAACCGCTATAACTTGAAGTAAAACCAGGTTTTATCTTGACATAAAACCAATAACAACAACAACATATAACATAACAAGTTTTATATTGACATAAAACCAACAATAACAACGTACATACTTTTTAACATATAGAACTTCTGAATATAACTTCGGAACTATATCGCACACAACATATAACTCAAGATCTAAATTAATATATTTCTATAAAAATAGTATGCTAACAAGTTGACAATAGTTGTATATATTCAAAATATTATATTTAAAACAAAGTTATCCCGATTAATATAACTAGCTATGTTGATACTAAATAATGAATTCGAATATGCTATAAGAACACTTACTAAATCCGGATCTATACCATCATATAGACATAATAGTAACGTATATACAATATTTATCATGCGTTTTCCCCCGAAAATATTAGAAAGTGGGGCCGTGAAACTCACCCTAGTAGCGTGATTTTAAGTAATCTAAGCAGAAACGGTCAGCGGTACGAGGTCGTCGGGGCTCCGGATGCAAGAGGGCTTCAGCAAATGAGAGAAAGGGAAGAAGTTCGGGTGTAAGTTTGGTTGAGGTCGAACCTTCTATTTATAGGAAGGATTTTGGCCTCTCACGTCGTAAGCCATGACTGGTCACCCCGTATACTTTTCATTTGCGTCCGTAGCTTCGGAAGGTGGCCATATGACTCCTCACATCGTGAGATATCCTTGCTCATGTCGTGAGCTTTGAACTTATCCCTTCGTAGCCTCGTCATGCACCTTCTAGGTCCGAAATGTGGCAATTTGACTCCTCACATCGTAAGTTTCTATGCTCACATTGTGAGCTCAGTTAGATTAGGGTTTTTGACAGCTGAATCTTCGGAAGGTCGTAACTTTCACATACGAACTCCGTTTATGACGTTCTTTATATCCACGCATAGGTATTTATGAGTACTACAACTCTCTTTTAGACTCCAATAGCTAATTCTAATTATATATTAAATTACTATTATTATAGAGATTTATAGTGTTCGGTTTATCCTAACTTCTTCACGCGAAGTCAGATTTAGACGTTCTCTATATTTTGGAATCGTATGGACGTATACTTTGAGTTGTATCATAAAGAAAGTTCATATTTGTATTGGAATTTATCATGAAATACATAGTACATTTATCACATTACTAGTTTTAACAAAATCACATTAAATGATTGGCATAATCACATGTGATTGTTATTGACCTATTTTGACTAGTGTTACATTCTCCCCCAGTTAGAACAATTTTGTCCTGAAATTTATCTTGTGGATGGGATTTTATTAAATAGTTGGGGGTATTTTTCTTTCATCTGATCTTCACGTTCCCAAGTAAATTCAGGTCCTCGTAAAAAGTTCCATCGAACTTTCACTATGGGAATACGACTTTGTTTTAATCATTTGACTTCTCGATCCATGATCTCGACAGGTTCTTCTACAAAGTTAAGTTTCGTATTGACTTGTATCTCGTCGAGAGGTACAACAAGAGTGTCATAGGATAGACATCTTTTCAGATTTCATACGTGAAAAACATCGTGCACATTACTTAACTCTTAAGGCAACTTGAGTTGGTATGCGATAGAACTAATTATAGTTAGAATTTCAAAACGTCCTATATACCGTGGGTTTAATTTGTCTCGTTTCCTGAATTGAATTACGCCTTTCCAAGGAGAGACCTTCAGCATTACTTTATCTCCAACTTGGAATTCTAAAGGCTTATGTCTTACGTCGGGATTGGAACCTATCAAATATGAGAATGTGGTTCTATCAGAAAAAAGATTGGTGGGATATAGGTTGTTGAACTGACAAGTGCTAGTGGCCATCCTGAGATTTCTTTCAGAGTTTGTGTAGAATTTGACTCAAGACCTCAAAGCTCATCATAAAGTTGAAAGAGAGTCAACATTTTCAAAGAACCATTACTTTGTAAACATGATTTGACAATACCCCAACCTTTACCCAGAATATTAATGAACTTAAGATTGTGTTTAATTGGAGTTCTAAAGACTCCATGGGTAGTTATATTTTTCACCAAAACTTAAAAACAGTTGGATGTTGCAAGAACAGAATCTCCATGAAGAGTTATGAAGGTTTCATATTCATTAACAACAAATGTTAATATTTTATCTTTGAAATTTTCATATCCTTCCAACATATCCTTGAGGGTATCAAATATATGTGGCGGAATGTTAAAGATCATCTATCAGATGGCAAGATTGTCTGCATGGATCTTCTCAATATCAAGAGTTGTAAGTGGAGCACTGAAAAGAGCTTATTATCCAAGAAGTTGAACAAATACATCTCTTATCACAACTCAAACATGAACATGAGGACCTTCTGTAACATGTATCAAGAGTTCTTGTCCTTTTTCTTTTGAAATTAAAAAAGGTTCCATCTTTATATTATAGTGATCATATTCCTCAACCACCAATAATGGGGATCGAGTAGGGCAACTCATACTATTGTCTATATGCAAATAATACAAAGGTTGATTAGGATTAGCCATTGTTAAGTTTTAAAAGTTAAGAGAGATTGTGGTGTATAAGAAGAACTTTTAATCTGTAGACATGGAAATGAAAATGAACACTAATGTGTTCTTGAGGAATGATAATTTGGTCAGATGGATTCAAATGAAAGCCACTTAGGCTCTAATCCCAATTGTGAGAGTATAAAACCGAACACAAATGAAACTAATAATATAACTTCTAGTCTATGTCTGAAACAAGCCAACATGAATATCAACTTGTATCAAATGCAAGAAATAGAAAACTAAAAGTAATAAATAAACCAATAAGAATGTTTTTTAGGAGAATATGATTAATTGTATTTCAAATTCATAAAAGTACTAAACAACGAAGACTTAAAAGCCTATTTAAAGGCACATTCAAACATACTAATATCTATGGGAACAAAGAATAGGATACTAAAAATTATATAATTAGAATCGTACAATGAGAAATGATCGTGTAGATCTTTTTCCTTAAACACTAACATGAATAAGACAAAAACATCTTCATTGCTCGAATCGAAATTCATTGGATGGAGAAATTCTTGGATGAAAAATTACTTCAGATCATACACTATGCTCAGACGAGCTTCACATCAGATGGTTGGTCACTTCTTGAACCATAAGTAACTGACTAGGAAAATGCAGTGCTTATCTTATTCTTATGTATGTTTGGTTTGAAGACCTTAACATGAGTTAGGGAATAACTTGGACCTTAAGAAAGCCATGAAATTTGTGGTAAGCTTGTATATTTGTTTTATATGTTTATTGTTAATAACCTCAGTAGTTTTCAAAATTCGATTTAAGTTTACTATTTTGGGACTAAAGTGTTTTTTCACAAACATAAACTCCAAATTTTGGGGTAATCTCCACATACGTTTTTCTTAAGTATGTTTTCATCTAGACCCTAGCGAAGGGTGTTACACCTTCCTTCATTAACTTTGACTTTTCTTTACTGTTACCGTATCTATTGGATGTTCTACCCATATCTTCTGATCTTAACAAACTCCTAGAAGATTCCCTTGCATTCCTTCTACATATACCATCACATATAATCAAATCGTAAATGCTTTCAAAGGTAAGCTTAGTAGTTCTTGACGAACTGCTAACTATTGTGACCATTCCAAACTAACTTTCTAGCAATTAAGAAAATAAAAATGTGTGTACTTCATCTTGAAATTTAATTCCTTATACTAGGTTAGATATTATCAAAATAAATTCATTTATATGATCTGTCATCGAGTCACCTTCCTTTATTTTATGTCTTTACCAAATATCGAATTAAGAAAGTCTTATTCACAGTTGAGAGTTTTACATACATGTTTGATGATGCCCAAATCGGTCTAAATGTTGACTTCTCGTTAACGATGTTGTATGTAATTTCTTCACTAACGACAAGCAGACCATACCAATGACACATGGATCCAATATATTATAATCCTTTTTCTTAATTGTTTTAGATTTCTTTTCACAAAAGGGTTCATATATCTTTTGGTAGATATAATCTTTGCTTTACATCTTCTAAAAACCAAACTTATGAACTTCAAATTTATTATTTGTAACTTTAAGTTTTATTGCTTATTTTTAAGTATATTTCCTACGTATGAGTTTGGTCACATATAATACATTTTCACTCAACAGTATAAATTAGAGTTAGTCAATGACATCAACCTTCGGTGGACATATCCACTAACACTCGCCACACTTCAACTTTGTGAAATGACACTTTCCCGCAATTTACTTTGTAAAATATTACTTTTAGTCCGTCGACCTAGAACTTTCTAGATGTTACCTTCACCCATTATTTTTCTGAAGTTTTGTGTTTAAAGCCTTGTAATATATATAATATGATTTTTCTAAAGTTACCACCCCCTAAGTTTGTCAAATATCATTTTGACCCATCAGTTTTGAACTTTATAAAATATTACTTTCATCTCCTCGATTTTCTAAACTTTCATATTTATCCCGTTCGGCGATAGTTTTGTCACTTATATTGATCATATATATTTATCTATCAATAAATACATCAATGTCTAACTTTTTTTCAATATAACTGTCAAAATTCAATTTACAAAACGTATTTAGCGCCGTAACAACGCGCAGGAGTTAAAATAGTATTTCAGATCTAAAACGTAAATCATTATATCACAAAGTATGTATCTAAAGATTATTATACTTCCATTATTAATTAATGTAAAAGCATATATTATTAATAGTAAGCATAGTTTAGAGTGCCAATGTTTCCAAATAAGAATATACGTATATGTATATATTGAACACACTTGCTTCTGAAATGGAATATAGTTCATGTAATGCCGCAATAATGTCTGAACCTCCCAACACATCCACCACAACACCACCCAATATTGTGAATGTAACACCTTATCCTGCCATCGCGTACAAAAACCACCATCTGCCGCCCATAACCCACGGTGGCGCAACCACATCCAACGTCGTGTTGTTGCCTGCTTCCAACCACCGAGAGTACCGGAAAGGCAACTGGACCCTCGAAGAGACCCTTGTCCTAATCACCGCAAAGAAGCTGGATGATGAGCGTCGAATTAACGCCACCACCTCCGCCACAGCAAACAGCCGTGCCGCCACCGGCGGGGAGCTGAGGTGGAAATGGGTGGAGAATTACTGTTGGAGTAATGGCTGCTTCCGTAGTCAGAACCAGTGCAATGACAAGTGGGATAACTTGCTCCGCGACTACAAGAAGGTCCGTGAGTACGAGCTCCGATCACCGGCGCAAAATCGTCCGTCGTATTGGTCGATGGATAAAACCCAACGCAAAGATCGAAATCTGCCATCGAACTTGCTACTTAATATCTATGAAGCACTAAACGACGTTGTTCAGAAAAAAACCCCCCAGCGACATTGTCTTCCTCAGCAACAGCCTCCTCTCGCAGTCCTTCCACCTCCCCAGCCGCCTCCGTCGTCGCTACCTCCTCCTCAGCCATCGTCATCTCAACATCACCCTCCGCCTCCGCCTCCGCCTCCGCCTCCTCCTCCTGCTTCAGGTAATTCAAAAATACACGTTTAGTCGTTTACAAACACTACAATATAACAATAGTTTATGGATAATTAGATCTTATGATTCTTAATTTAACGTGTTCTGAAATTAAAAGAAAAATGTATACACTGGTTATTTATAAATTTTAAATGACATTAACTACAAAATATGTGAATTTTATAAAAGTAATGTGGGGAAAATCCGTCGTTTTTGGTATAGGACTATGGGAGAATAATCATGTATTTGTGTATTATCTTATTATAATAATCAATTTATACTTTTTTTTTTACAAACCATACCTATTAATTTTTATTGTTTCAAAAAAGAACAAAAATATTTATTTGTACTTCTTTTTTAATCATAATAAATACCTTTATTATTATTAAGCTTGAGAAATAAATGTATGTTTATCACAAATCGTGTTATATTAGTATTAAACAAGTAAGTAGGTTTTTATTAAAAGATATATATATATATATATATATATATATATATATATATATATATATATATATATATATATTGTTACTTCAAGTAAAAATATACAATGTGTCAAAAATAGCACATATGTGTTATTATTATTATTTTTTTTTGTCATTTACATATCTTAATAAGTCACACAAAAATAATATTATAGTTGTATTTTTAATAAATAGAACCATGGAAAAAAGTAATAAGACGACGGAAATGAGTAAAACGTTAGCCTTCTTGATTGTACCATTCTCATTTTTGACATTGCATTTGTGCACTTGCAAATGTCATTTCATATTAATAAATATAAACTAGACATGAGTACTATAATAAAAAATGAGCAGACAAAATACATAAAAACAATACCTTACATCTATCATTTTATGGATTTAATAAATGCATAACAACAAAAACGTCTGCAATTCTTTATAAAATATGTAAATTATCCATACAAATAGTTGTACCCTTCACATTTACCATTTAAAAAAAAATCCAAAAAATACAACACATTCAATCATATTTGTTCTTATCCTTCGAATACAAGCAACTAATAAAATAATAAATGAATCAAATTCTTTTACATTTTTGTTACAATTAGTAGGAATATAAGAACAAATGTTATATGAATGATGGAATTTAAATTAAACAAATAATAAATACGAAATGTCAGAAAAAAATAAAAAGTTGATGGAAATTTTGGCGTCGGTTATAGAGAGAGATAATGTTGGTCAAAGATGCAGGGTTTGAAAACTCTGGCACACAGTTATTGCAACCCTTTCCTCCATTTATGGTTCTCTGGATTTTATACAGTACAGTCAACAGCTGTGAATTCCTTTTACAACCTCGCCATCTCATTCGCTCATTCGCTACCATCAAGTACTTCTAAAAGCTCTTGGCATCATGTGGGTCCTCCCTTTCAGGAACCTTTTTCACACTATTCAAACTCTCCACTTCGCTAACTTTTTATCACAAATTTTATAAATATAAATATATTATTTAACATGCATTATGTATTTAGGTGTATAACATTTTAATACTATGAGTATATATTGTTGCGTATGTCGATTAAAAAACAAGTTTTATAGGTATATATTGTAGCATATCTTGTATTAAAACACCAGTTTGTTACATAAATTAAACCAAAAAAAAAAAACACTATGTCGCAAAATATGCATTTTTTACTTATGACAAGTTTTCGTCCTCATATAATCCAACAAAACGATATATATGTTGGTGTCTCTTATTAAAAATTCTTTGTGAGAGAGAATCAAGATTTCCAAACATGTAAACATATACCACTCTATACCAAAAACTCTTTTGTTAGAGAAAATCTACATATTTAATACTCAACTATGTTTGAAAAAGAAAACAAAAATTTTACGTATCTAACTCGATATCAAAAATATTAGAATCGAGTCTTAAGAGGTGTATTGATGTATATATTGGCTAGACATTGTACAATCACAATTCTTCTTAATTTCTCAACATCATGTTTTTCGAAAGATAAATAAAAAATTACATTTACATGTAGATGAAAGAATTTGTAACAAAAGTTAAACTATTATGATGAGTTACATTATATTATATTATATATAAATAAATGGTTTGAATGGTCATATTTTTATGGTTTTTGTAAGTTTATGGTATTTTGGAGTGTAGTGATGATGGGTTGAAGTGGGAGTGGTGGCCTGCAACTGCACAAAGATTCGTAGTAGCCATTGATTGCAAGATCTACCTTTTCTTTCTTCTGCTTTACAATTACATTGCAACAAATACCTACTGAATATATACGAATCTTTAACAACGTACACTATCTTAAGTTCATGTTAAAGAATCAATAATTAATATCTCACTTTTCTTATTCTCAAAACTTTTACGATTTCCATATAACCGATTGTTAACATAAATTTCAGAAGCATCGGTAGAATCATCGGAAACAGAAGGAGAAGATGCAGATAATGATAATAAAAGGAGAAGAGTGAGAGACATCGGAAGTAGCATTGTTCACAGTACCAGAGTATTATCAGAAACCCTAAAACGCTTTGAGGAGAAGAAGGAGAAAAGACACCGAGAATTGATGGAACTTGAAGAACAAAGACTTCATTTGGAAGAGACTCGAAATGAAGTTAATCGTCAAGGGATCACTGGTTTGATCACATCGATTAATAAGCTTTCTGATGCTATTTATGCACTTATTTCGGAAAAACGTGAAAGACCATAACATACCATGCATGGGAGAGATTCTTTTAGGTGTAATGGTTTATATATTTAAGTTAAGAAAATGGTTATTGATTGATCCATAGATCGTACATATATGTATCTGACATTTGCAATTGCAATTGAATTAAGTATAAGTTAGAAAATAAGTTTTGCGTTTGTCATTTGTTATAACAAGATAAAGAGAATGGAAATAGAAGATGGACTAATTTGCATCAGGCGATTGCTCTTATGCTTGAAAAGTTAAAATGCCAAGATTTCTTTAGTGGTTTTGACTCTTATTGGCGAAGACATCTAAGAGCGTACTCAAATCCAAGAGAAATTAAACAAGGATCTTGTAAAAGGAAAAATAGTGGCTGAAAAAGCTATGAAGAAAATAATAAAGACACAACAAGAGATTTGTAGGAATAGGGAACAGATAGAATTGAACATAGATCGAGTCTTGTGTTTGGCACAATTTCGTTAAAACGTATTCGTCACACTATCACATGGTCAATTCTCATGAGACAACAACAATTTACGGTTCTTCGAAACCATTGAACTCAACTACACCTATATATTACATGAGGTAAAAGCTTCAAAACTTGTAGTTCCAGTCCTATCATTTGTATGCAAGAATTGGTACTAATGCGACAAACTTGTAACCACATGATAATTATCAATTCATAATCCATAAACTAATTATGTTGATTAAACACAAGAAACCTGTAACAACCTTTATTTTAAGTCAATGTAATAATCTAGGTAAATCATTCTAACTCGTTTTAAAGTAATAAAGATATAATAAATTAAAATAAAATATTAGATAAACCCGATATCTATGAAGAAAATTATAGTGATCATGACAAGGATTCTGGATATATATACAATGCCGAAATCTGATTTATAACGAAGAAGTTATTGTCTATCAAAGTTGTGCAACAAACCCAGCACGATGCTATGTGATGTAAAAAGTGAATTTACAATAAAATGTATTTTAACCTTAACGATTTAAATGAAAGTCGTAGTATACGTTAAACCAAGAGCATGCATAAAAAAACATTCAAATCTAACTTCGTGTGAGGAAGTTATGGATTTTTTAAGATTTGGCATAACAGTATGCAACCCGAAATTCAAATTATAGATCGATCGATTTTTAGCCGACACAACCTAAACGAGAATCAAATATCTCGTTAATAGTAGTTCAACGATAAAAAGACAGACGAAAACGGAGGTTGGATGAAGAAGTTATGAAATTTTAACGGACTTTTTCTGTCCCGGTCTGTTAAAAATATAACTTTAAAAATAAAGTCAAAATTAGCCGACGGTGTCTAAACGAAAGTTGTAGAGTACGGTCTCACCTACGCGTGGATATAAAGAATGTCGAAACCGGAGCTTGTATACAAAAGTTACGAATTTTTGAAGTAAAGTGTGCAAATTTCGAAGCTGGGTCCGAAGGGGAACACCCCGCGCAGAGGGAAAGGCCCCATACACGCATGAACTTGGCCTCGCTCCGACCACATAATCCTTCTCATGTAAGACACAGTCAAAAGAGACTATTTTAAGAAACAAAGTAATGTCTGAATCACCACTTTATCTGGTAAGTTCATACCCCTACGCTTTCACTATTTTTTTTTATATTTTAAGGAGGGGGGATACAAGTAAAACACAAAGAAATCTTGTGTTAATATCAAAACTATTCAAATAGTTTTCAATTGTCGTTTTTGCTAAAATAAACATACTACTCTACTAGTTCGGGATTCCATACAAAAACGAATATATAAACTATAATAGGTATAGTTTATGAATCATACATACGAATTTATCAATACAAAATGACTTTTCATTATTCTACAAATAACCATCAATATAACTTTGTGAGATATATTTAAAGTACTTATCTAAGTACCAATCAAGCCTTGAAATTATAACCAGAGTTTCCTGGAAGGAGAGCATGACACTTGTGTATAGATCTATACGTGATTGACAACCTCACACCTAAACTGTTAGCTACAGTTAGGCCGACAGGCCTGGGGTGACAAATGTTGTACCGATTCCGACATCTGAATAACGTCGTGTTTAGGCCATCTTAGGTCATCAAGTATGGTTATAATAACTCACAATTAGGTATTGAACAATAAGATTAGGTACGAACACGTAAACAACTTTATATGGTTTTATTAAATATAGAACTATAATACAGTATTTTACAGTACAGCTGGTGGATCCAGGCACATACATTCACAGAATTTCATACAATCACAATTATAGTATACTATTTTCCATTACAGAGAAACTTACATTTCTAGAAACATTCATTTTATGGTTTTATGTGGATTAAAATTACATCATACTATTTCAGAGTACAACAACATTTACACGTTTTGGTCTTAGGGTATTAAAACTACAATTCATCTACAACAGAAAATATAGGATTTTCTGGAAGAACACATTTACATTTTCAAAGAATAAATAAAAGATTACTCATACAAATATGCTTATGAACTCACCAACTTAATTTTTGACAGTCTTTTCAAAACAACTTGTATTCTCAGGGAATCAGTAAAACATGAAACCATCGGCTTTTTAGGATGGGACATTAAGGCGTCAAACAAATCATTTTGACATCATATTGTAATTGACTTTTGAAACTTGTAACACTTACAATGATGTAATCTTTTTCAATTATATATATGATGGTTGTGTTTGCTTTCTTTACTATTATTCAATTGTTATGATACAATACATGAAATTCATCCCACCCCCGGACGCGTCCGCCATCCTGCTTTGGGGGTGTGACAATAATGATATCTTAATCTAATTTATAAAATCAATATCGTATTTATTTATCCAAAACATTTCTCCAAAGAAGAAGGAAACTCGAAGAATAAAATGAAACCTATGGTCACCATTGTTGGTAAGCTCGATCGAAGTGATGATTGGATTGTGGATTCATGCTCTACTGTACCCTGTAAGCCAAAACGACTTAAAAACAAAATAATAAATCCTTTTGAAACTTCAGTTGTTATACCTAATGGAGAAATGATATCAGTAGAAGAAAGAGGTGACTATACCCTTGTTGATGGGACAGAAAGTAAAAGAGGTTCAAAATGTCCCTGACTTTAATTGCAATTTGTTATTTGTTAGCCATTTGACTAATGATCTCTAACGTTGGATAACTTTCTTTCCCGAGTTTTGCATGATACAGGGCCTCCAGTTGAAGAACTTGATTGGTGGGGGTGAGTGCAAGGGTGGTATATACCGAATGGGGATAGTGGCAAGTAAGAGAAAGGCTATGATGACCAGTTCAGATATTGATATTTTGAATAGGAGATTGGGACACACTTCATATTCAAAGCTTTGCAAAGTATATTTCTTTAGGAGCGTTTCTTTTAAAAATAGGAATAATGTATATGATTCTTGTATTAAGGCAAAACATACAAGACTACCCTTTCCTGTTAGTTCAATAAAAACTAGCGATTGTTTTGAATTGATAAATTATCGTGTATGGGGGAAATATCGAACACCTTTTAGTGACTGAGTCAAATTATTTTTTAACTATAGTGGTTGATTTTGGTAGAGCCATTTAGGTATTCCCTCTAAAGCTTAAGCATGGAGTTAATGGCTTTCTGGTTGATTTTCACACCATGATCAAAAATCAATTCTCCTAAAAACATTAAAAAGGTCAAGTGTGACAATGGAGGTAAGTTCACTTCTAATTTTATGATATATTTCTATGTGAAACAATGGATTCTTTTGTAAACTACTTGTCCATACACCCCACAACAAAATGGGGTTATGGAACGAAAACATCGTTATTTGCTCGAGATGACTACAACTCTTTGTTTGGAAGTAAATTTGCTAACAAATTTTCTAGGGAGAATGCATTATGACAACAACTTACATCATAAACCGACTACTCTCAAAGGTCATTAAAAATAAAACATCGTATGAAATTTTGCTTAACTAGAAACCAGGATATGATCGTATGAAGAATTTTAGGTGTTTGGCTTATTATAGAAGTAATGAAACAAGATCGGGTAAGTTTGAAGTGATGGGGAGACCTGGGTTTTCCTTGGATATCCCCAAGGAACCAAGGGATATAAGATTTACGATCTTGATCATAATAAAATAGTAATATCTAGAGACGTAAAATTTGTTGAAGATTCATTCCCATTTCCTGCCACCCATGGTGATAGTCATGAAAAGGAAGAAGTGCTTGAATTTCCTGAAAGGATTATGTTTAAAGACTTTTACCATGATAACGAAGTCCACGAAATGCAACAAGTAGAAGAGGATTTTCAATTTGATCCAGAATTCATGTCCTGAAAACTTGGATGCCAGTGATGAAGTTGAAAATATTGACAATTCAGAACATATTTCCACTAAAAGTAATAATACCAAAGAAAAGAAAATGAGGAGTCAACCTAAACACTTGAGTGATTTCATTATTGACTTGCCACCTTTGGTTGACCATGCACCACCCGCTCCCGATCAAAGTACTTCGACAGTACATTCCTTGACTAATTTTATTTCTTATGAAAACTTTTCTGGCTCACATAAAGTTTTTGAGCAGTTATTAGTTCTAACAATGAACCAAAAACACTTCAAAGAAGTTATTCTAGATGATAAATGGAAAGAAGCCATGCAAAGGGAAATAAAAGCTCTTAAAGACAATGGCACGTGGACCTTGAAGAGTTTCCAAAAGGAAATCGAGCGATAGATTCAAAATAGGTTTATGAAATTAAATATAAACCAAATGGAGATATTGAAAGATACAAGGCGATGATCGTTGCAAAAGGCTTCACACAAATGGAAGGGGTAGATTTTCATGATACTTTTTCTCTTGTTGCTAAGTTGGTGACTTTATAAAGTCTACTTGCAATTTACGTTAAGAAACACTAGATAATGCATCAGTTGGATGTGAATAATGGCTTCATACATGAAGATCTGAGTGAAGACATTTACATGAAAACACATGAGGTTTTTCAAGAAAAGAAGAGACGTGAGTATGCAAGTTAAGAAAGTCTTTGTACGGGTTAAGATAAGCTTCAATGAATTGGTATCAAAAGTTTACATCAGTTTTACTTGATCTTGATTTCAGGTAGTCTCATGCTGATCACTCTTTGTTTGTGTAAAAGCAAGGGAAATCCTTTGTTGCCGGGTTAATATATGTTTATGATGTAATTATTGTGTGTAATAATGATGCAAAGATATAGCATACT